ACAATATGTTTCCCCTTGTGACCGGCTTGAGAGCAGGCACACCCTCTTAAACATTTTTTGTATCCCCAGTGTATTTGCAGGAGCTCAATAAATGATAGACTAAATGAATGAATGAATGAATAGAGGAGGACGAGGCAGCGAGTCTGAGGAGGGTGTGGTGGCGGTGCAATCCCGGAGCCCAGCTCAGAGGTAGTAACCTTCAACTCTCCCTAAAAAGTTCACGACGGGGGGCCAGGACGAAGAACAGCACCGGTGTTTGGCCCCGTCCAAAATCCTGCTCCGCTTGGGGACGGGGCTAGGAGGAAGGCTTAATCCGCTTCTGCCCGTCAATTGACCAATCGCCGCCTCAAGGGGACGGGGATTTCAATCTGTCCCCGCCCTTCCCTTTGGAGAGTAAATACGTTTGGGCGCTGTTCAAACGGACCAATGAGTGCTCGATGTTTCCTGCGGGTTGCTTCTCAACGATTGGCCGGAGTTCGTCGTCCCGCCCTCCTCGTCACGCCTTTTGCCCCACCCCTTCGCACACAAGATGGCGGCGCCCAGCGGAGTAGAGGCCGCGATTGGGGTTTGCTGAGGCTGACTCCCTTTCCCACTACCGCTTTGGACGCAAAGCGCCGCGAGCCCAGAGGACGGGGGCCGGGCGGGGACAGGGGTACCTGCGTAGCTGGACCGCGAGCCCGCGCCCAGCCTGCGCCGCCCCCACCCGGCCCCGGCCCGAAACCATCCGTTCCCGGCCTCCTCTCGGTCTGACCCACTGCCCAGCCGTGGTTCGCCACCACCAGGCCTCCAAAGCTGAGCTCTCTCCTCCAGCCCGGGCTCACCTCCACTTTAGAGATGTTTGGCCTCTTCCCTCCCAGACAGCCCGCCTTCAAAACCGGGACTCCTGGACTGGCGCCTGGCCCCCTTTCCCTTCACTGAGACTCGACCTCGCTCTAACCCACTTCTTCCTCAGATTCTTGGTTCTCCCTGGCTTGGAGACTGCTCACTTCCCTTCCAGATTAATCCCTGACGTCCCCAAATATTATCAGCCTTGACACCCCCCCTCAGCCTGGAGCCAGACTTCCTTTTGGATTAACCTCCACAGCCCTATCATGGAAGCTGTGTACATGATAGTGAATGGGGTGGGCCTTGTGCTGGACCTGCTGACCTTGGTGTTGGACCTCAACTTCCTGCTGGTGTCCTCCCTCCTGGCTTCCCTGGCCTGGCTCCTGGCCTTCATCTACAACCTGCCACACACGGTACTGACTAGTCTTTTGCACTTGGGCCGCGGAGTCCTGCTTTCATTGCTGGCCTTGATTGAAGCCTTGGTCCGGTTCACCTTTGGGGGCCTGCAGGCCTTGTGTACCTTGCTGTACAGCTGCTGCTCTGGCCTGGAGAGCTTAAAGCTCCTGGGGCACCTGGCGTCTCACGGGGCACTGAGGAGCCGGGAGATACTGCACCGGGGTGTCCTCAATGTGGTCTCCAGTGGCCATGCTTTGCTGCGCCAGGCCTGTGACATCTGTGCCATTGCCATGAGCCTGGTGGCCTACGTGATCAACAGCCTGGTCAACATCTGCCTCATTGGCACTCAGAACCTTTTCTCCCTGATGCTGGCCCTGTGGGATGCAGTGATGGGGCCACTGTGGAGGCTGACGGATGTTGTAGCTGCCTTCCTAGCCCACATTTCCAGCAGTGCCGTGGCCATGGCCATCCTCCTCTGGACCCCCTGCCAGCTAGCACTGGAGCTCCTAGCATCAGCTGCCCGCCTCCTGACCAGCTTCGTGCTTGTCAACGTCACAGGCCTGGTGCTGCTGGCTTGCGTGCTGGCAGTGATGGTGACTGTGCTGCACCCGGACCTCACCCTGAGCCTGGCCACCCGGGCGCTCAGTCAGCTCTGTGCCTGGCCATCCTACCACCGGCTCCGAGAGGATGTCGTGCGGCTGTCTCGCCTAGCCCTGGACTTGGAGGCCTGGCGCCGGGTCTGGAGCCGCAGCCTGCAGCTGGCCACGTGGCCGAACCGGGGAGGGGCTCCTGGGGCCCCTCAGGGCGGCCCTAGGAGGGTGCCTTCAGCCAGGATCTGGCGACAGGACACTCTTCCCGAAGCAGGGCCCAGATCAGAGGCAGAAGAGGAGGAAGAGGTCAGGATGGCCAGAGCAACACCTGCCCGTGGCCGGGAGAGGCTCAATGAGGAGGAGTCTGTAGCTGGGCAAGACCCCTGGAAGTTGCTCAAGGAGCAAGAGGAGCGGAAGAAGTGTGTCATTTGCCAGGACCAGAGCAAGACAGTGCTGCTTCTGCCCTGTCGGCACCTGTGCCTGTGCCAGGCTTGCACTGAAATCCTCATGCGCCACCCCATCTACCACCGCAACTGCCCGCTGTGCCGCCGGGGCATTCTGCAGACCCTCAACGTCTACCTCTGAAGACTCCTTCCCTGCCTGCCCACTCTTCCATGCTCCGTGAAGCCACCTGCGCTAGGACAGCTTTAACACCTGACCTCTTGGTTCCTGGCCTGAATCCCCTCCCGCCCCCATGGCCGTCACGCCGAGCCTCCAATCCGTACGTCTAGGACACTGAGATAGGCTAACTCGGGAAGACTATGAGCTGGGTGGGGCAGGGTAACAGCTCTTCCTTACCCAGTGCGTCCCTGTGTGATGCCAGAGGTGGTGAGTGTGTCACTATGCAAGGCCCTGAGACTGCTGTGGATTCCCCTCCAGCTTGCCAGGGCCCATCCAGATGCCAACCTCTGGGGCTCCCTCTCTACTTCTGGTTTTTCTTTTGGGGACTTGCAGGTCCTCTCCCTGGCCCTTCCCCATTTCCTCCCCAGCTTCTGCAGCCACAACACATCACTGTCGTTTGGATGTTTTGGTAACTCAAAGGCCTTGGAACGGACTTGAACCTTTGCTTTCAGTCAGAGCACCTGTGCACTGGTAGGCCTCGGGGATAGTATCTCTCAGGTGCCCTTAGAGTTACCACTTCTGCCTGTCTTGATCTTATGAGGCTCCCTCCCAACCCGATCCAACAGCTAGGATCAAGAGTTTACCCCTTGGGGGGGTGGGTGTCTGCACCTGGCTTTGGGACCATATTACCCTCTGGCACCCCAGCTCCACTGGGAGCCTCAGGAGGGATAACCAGATTTCTACTCCTACCCCTTTCACTCCCCACATCACAGAGAACAGTGGCATTTCCCTTCTGTTTGTCTCTCCCGGGCATTGGGGAGGGCAGACTGTGCACATTTCACTAGGGTCCAAATACGGAAGGGGCCAGCCTAGGAGTATGCAGCTCCCTGATGGGTCTGTCTGGCCCAGATGGGTCTGCCGGCCCAGTTTCTGGTGAATACATTTCTGTTGACAGCTCTGACAGCCTCGGTGTGCATCCTTACAGGGGTGAGCAGTTGGTCACGGTAACTGATGCTGCAGCAGGGTCCTTCAGTCCTGCTGGAGTTACTGTGGTCTGTGGGGGATCTGGTGGGGAGGAGATAAGATAGGACGTGAGGACTATGCCTTGGGGAGAGCCCGTGCCAGGTGTGGCTGGATTAGTTTTCGCCCCCTCCAATTTGTGGCCTCATACACCTGGCTTTTGGAAAGCCCTCCCTATCTTTCCTGCTTTTGCCAGAATGAAGCCCTAGTAGAGAGGTGTGTGAACGTTCCCATCCCCTGAGTCAGCTTCCCAGCTTCTCAGTGCTGCACTTCCCAGGAGGGAATTTGGGGTTCTTGCTGCCCGGAGTCCAATCTACTGTCTGATCCCTGGAGGAGCCTGGTGCTTGTCTTTGTTTCGCTTGGGCTGGAGCGGGGCCGTGAGGCCTCCTGGCGGAGAGCTGTGAGCTGAAGCCCAAGACCCGACCCCAGTCCCCACCCTCATATCTGCCCTCACAGGCCCAGCAAGAGGGAGGGGGGACACTCCCACATAATTGTATGTTAAATCTAGGAGCATAATGCCAGGGGCAGCCTTCTGGAAGCTGTGGGGCGGTTCTGGAGGGGAGGGGGAGGAAGGGTAGGTCAGAAAGAAACTGAGACGAGGCCCCTCACATTCTCTGGGGTTGAGAGGCTGAACTGATTGTGGGTCTGGCAAGCCCTGGTTTGTTAGTCACTAGGGTGGGGGTGGGGCTGGGGCTGGCTTCTGAAGGTCAGAGGAGGGGAACCTTGAAGGGGCTTTGTGGCTAGCCTCAGACTTAGTGGCGCGGCCCACCCAGGCTATGCCCAGCGTGGTGGGGGGAGTTCACCACATCCATCTTGGAGTTGGGAAGCCTGAGGAGGGCTTTTCTCCCCTCCCCCCAACCCTAGAGAGGGAGCTGAGCAAGGGGAGGCCTGGCTCCTTCCAGTCTCTGTTTAATGTGAGGATAAACATTTTATGAGAGAAGATAAACTTCCTGAGCTGGGAGCAAAGGACCCCCTTTTCCTGCACCCCCATCTGGAATTACATTAGCGACCTCAATACCCGTCCTCCCCCTAACTACCCTAGCAGTCGCGAGCTCAAGCTCGCCAGGATCTTTGCTGCATTCTGGGGTTGGGACGCCCCCTTGTGGTCAGCTCAGAAACGACTTATCTCTAGCCACCCCGGAACACACCACTTCCCTGGCGTGGGGGACAGAGAAATAGCTTTCCAGTCACCTAGAGACCGGGCAAGCAGCCAGAGCAGTCACAGCTGCAAACCCGGGGACCCTTACTGTTGATCAGGGTAGGGGTGTGTGTGGTGAAGGTAGCCCCCGCGCAGTTCATATGACATCTTTGAGTCAGAAAAAGGTGGCCAGAGCCCCATGCCAGAAGGGCACCCTCCTCAGCCAAGCACTCCTGTCCACATCCAACACAACTCAGGGGACAGCTCTACGGAGCGGCTTCTCATTCCCCGGGGCCTGCTTCCTGGATCTCCTGCCCCAGGGCTCACCCAGCCCAAGAGCCCTTCCTTCTGCCTGAGCACCACCCTGCATATCTTCCCCATCGTTCCCTCTCCCCTCCCCCATCCTCACCATCAGGGCATCCCCACCACTAAAGAAGGCTGAGCCGAGCCAGTAGGACTTTTTTTTTTTTTTTATTGAATAATCTCTGAGAAAAGGGCCCAGGAATAGGAGGGACAAGGGAGGACCCAGAGAAGCAGAACACCAGGAAGAGGGCACCCCCACCTCTGGGATCCTGGGCCAGAGCAACTGGGGGACCCACACCTGCCAGCACAGAGCGCTCCTTTGGTTTTGGGCAGAAATCCAGCCACTGCCCCTCACTGCCAGCCCTGATCTCAGACAGCCTCTGTCCCCATTCTCTGCCAGCAGCAGGACTGGAGTCGTTCACAACATCCCAAGGGGGGCCAGCCCTCCGGGGACGATGTGGCTGTCAGTGTCACACCGCTCACTTTCCAGTGGGCATCAAGCAAAGACAGGGGAGTTGTGCCAGTCAGAATACACCAGAAATCCCGAGAAGGTGCTGTCTGTCTTGATGCTGGCATAAATGCCAATGTAATCGCCCACGCCCACCTGCACCCACACCTGGTCCTCTGGCTCCAGCCTCACCATGGCGCCCCCAGAGAGCGAGGCTGGTTTGGGCCACCCCCCAAAAAACTGGAAGAAAGAGGCGATGGACTCGCCATTCTTCACCAGATCGAACTGCAGGCTAGCCCGGTAGACGGTGGCGTGGACCGCGAAGTAGTAGACCCCGGGCACCTGGCAGGTGAACTTGCCGGTGGTGGCGTCGTAATGTCCCTGCTCGTTCACCAGCACGCGGTCGAAGGGTAGGGGCGCGTCGGACGGCGGAGGCACGCGGCTCTCCGAGCGCTTGGCGCTGAAGGCGGAGCGCGGAGGCACCGAGCACTCGCCCGCAGGCCCGCTGGCTCCCACGGGTCCCGCCTCTCCTCGCGGCCCGGGCTCCCCCCGGGGCCCCGGCAGCCCTGTGGGGGCGCGGGGCGCGGTTAGGGCCAGAGTGGCGGCGGCGGCGGCCGGGGGCGCGGGGGGCGCCGCTCAGCACCCTTCCCACCCTGTCTGGGGCTCCCGGCCGCCGCTTCCTGGGCGAGGGCCGCCCTGCCGCTCGGCCCCTTCCCCCCCTCAACCCCGGGCCCCGCCGCTCTCAGGAGACTGTCCCTGGAGCCGCGGCCGCCGCGCGCTGCGTCACCCTCCCAGCGCCCCGCTCCGGGAGCCCGGCGTCGCCCCCTGGCGGGACCACGAGCCCCGGCCCTCGGCCCCGCGAGCGCGGACCGCCCCGTGGACGGCGACCCCGCCGCCTTCTTACCCGGACTCCCGCCCTCGCCTTTCTCTCCCGGAGCCCCGGGCGCGCCGTCGCGGCCGTCGCGGCCGTCGCGGCCGGGCAGGCCCTGGCTGCCGTGGTGGCCCGGCGTGCCGGGAAGGCCGGGGTGCCCCGGGCACAGGCTGGGGATCTTGTTGTCGTCCAGCGGGGGCGAGCCGGCCGCCAGGCCCAGGAGCAGCAGGGCGACGAGCGGCCTCATGGCGCTGGCACGGGGGCTCCGGCCGCCGGGGTCCTCTCGCAGTCTGCGGGCCAGGCGGGACGGGAGTCGGGACCCAGAATCCCGGCACCAGCCTCGCTCCCCGCCCCGGCGCAGCCGGGTGGGTCCCCACCCCACTGCCACGGGCCTGAGACTGAGCGGCCGCCGGGGGGGACGAAGGGGGGGCGCCCCCAGAGCCAGGGACCCGGCGGGCGCCGGGGGTGGAGGGGGACAGGAGAGGCTGGCCGCTCCCCCCCACCCCACCCCGTGCCCCGCCCGCGCCGACTTTCCCCCAGCCCTTCCCACCCCCACCCCCCTCCCACGCTCCGCCACACTCACCCCCTCCCGTCTCCCGGGGCCTCCGTGGGGCGCTCGCTACTCCGGACCCTCCAGCTGACCCCTGCCCCGCCCCTGCGCGTCTCCCCTGCCAGGCGTCCCCTGCCCTCGGCGTCCCCCTTGGTCCGGGTGCACTCCCTGCCGGCTCCGCTCTGCTCCTCCCAGACTCCAAGAGGAAACCAGTTGTTCAGGGGCCAAGAGCTCCCGGCCGGGAAATAGCAGGGAAATAACTCGTGGTGTCGCCCGGCCGCCGGCCAAGGTTTGGGGGAGAAAGGAGGGGGAGGGAGTCTTAGCTGGGCACAGGGAGGCAGAGCTGTGTGAGACAGACACTCGGGGCACCCATTGCTCCAAGGAGCCCAGAAGGAGAGATGGTGCAGTGCCACAGACCAAGGACAAGACTAGTCTAAGGGAAATAGAAGCTGAGAATGGAGGGGGAGAGTTCTAGAGGCAGTTGGACAACTGGATCCCCAGGACTCAGAACAGTGCCTGCCACATTACTAGGCACTCAATACATTTTTGTTGAATAAGTGAGAGTCAGAAGGCAGGTGGTGGAGAACCTGAAAAAGTAGGTCTCCCCAGAGGGGAAGGCAGGAGATTGGAAATTGGAGTCAGAGGCTTGGGTGGGAAGCAGTCCTCACGGGCAATGGCACCATGTGGAGTTGGGGCAAGTAAAGGGACAGGGAAGCTTCCATTAGCCCTGCGGAGGACTTCTCTTTCCTTCCCTGGGAGGCTCGACAGGATGGGCAGAGTCCCATGCTGGTCCTCCTTCCTTTGTCCCCTGCCTGCCCTGATCGACAAAGGTGGATGGGCAGGCAGAGGGGCAGGGGCCTGCCTCAGGGTCAGGGCTGGGCACAAGCCTCCAGGCCAGCCGCCTCAGGTAGCCTGTTGCAGTTGAAAGGCCAGGGGGTACCCAGTAGAGCCAGGCCCGACTGGCACTGGCGCTCAGCCTCCTGGCAGACAGAGCGGCAGGGGGGAAGGACACTGCCTGTGGGGGTGCAGTGGGGCACAAGCAGCCCGCAGAGGAGCCTCCGGAAACTCTGGTAGCAGGGCAGACTTGTCAGGCTCTGTGGAAGGAGGAGATCAGCCCTCAGGCACCCCATTCCCGAGGCTCCCTCCACTTCCTGTGGGTCCCTCCTAATCTCTGCCTAGAGCACCTTGTAACCTCTGAGGATCTCCATCACTTCCTCCTGGGTGGCTATGCCCACCCAGACGTTTGGGAAGGCCGTGGTATTGTAGCTCAGACCGAAGCACATCTCCACCTGGACGGGCTCGCAAGCCAGCTCTGTAAGGGGAGAATTACTGGGGGAGGGTACACAGGCTGGTGACCTGGGGCAAGTCACCCAACTGCTCTATCTGGGTCATTTGGGGGTTGTTGTGGGAGTCAAAGGAGATAACATGGGGAGATGCTTTGCACACATCACAGGTGCCCAAGTTGCATGCGCTATGGACTGAGCCAGCCGGGCGCCCCTCACCTTCCTCTCTGAGGTGGGCTATATAGAGGGGCTCTCTGTGTGACAAGGCTGGGCTGGTTCTTGAAGCCCCAACCATCAACTCCCAGATTGCCACTTGCCTTGGGGGTGACGTTAAGTACCATTGCCACCACCGGGTGAGAATCCCTCCCGGACTCTGTGGAGTCCCCCCATCGGAGAGGACAGGGGTGAGCTGTTATGAAGTGTGCCAGTGGGGTTTCTATGAATGGGCCCCAGCCTGCTCCAGCCTCCCTACCCCCCCAGAGCTGTGGGGCGGGCTTCTCACCTGGGGGTGGGAGCAAGGGGCTGCTGCAGCTGTCATCACTGCTGTCCAGGCAGCGACTCCACGTGTCACACGTCCACTGCACACTCTTACACCCTCCGTCATGGCAGGAGAACTCTCCGGGCCCACAGGGATCTGTAGACATAGGGGGCATGGCGGTGCCCTGGGACAGGCCTGTGCCCCCACACTGCCTTCGCGGTGCCCTGAGTGGGGTCCAGAGCCCTTCCTCGTCCTCCTGGAGGCGCCTCCACAGCCACACCCGCTCACCCAGGGCCACCTACTCTCTGTGGCATTGAGGGCCCGGTAGGTGGCAGAGAAGCCCCCGGTGCTGATGCCACGGTCTGTCCTAAAGAGCACCACCAGCTGCTGGTGCGAGGAGATGAGGCGAGGTGGTGGCTCTGCTCCACAGAACCTGCCAGAGGCAGAGAGCAGACCTGGGCAGGGGGCCCTTGGCCTCCCCCACCGCCGCCCGGGGGGGGTTCCTGCAGGCCTCCCTCCGAGCTGGTGCTCTGGGCCGTGCCAGAGGGGGTGGGACACATGGCAGCTGACTCATGGCACTTAGGACCTGGGAGGAAGACACACATATTCAGTAGGCAAAGAATTAAGCAAACTGCTTGAACTTGAGCCAGTCGGAGATGGGAAACACCAGTGAGGGTTTGAGGGGAAGTGGGAGTGGGCCCCACGGGGCAGGAGAACCAGGCAGGGAGGGTACAGGGAAATGGCCTTCTGCACAGGGGCAATGCCAAACAAAGGCTTTGGGCTGAGGAAGGACAAGCCTCTTCCTAGGGTGACGGTGAAGAGACCCCTGGCTTAGAGCAGGAGGAACTGGAAGCCAGGGAGAGGGCAGAGTGAATCTGCGGGAGGCCTTGACCGTCAGACTGCGGAGGATGGAGTTTCTCCGGGGCTCCTGCTCGGCGGCTACCTTCCCAGGAGGCCAAGGGCCCCTGCGTCGCTGGTCTCATACACTGCCACATAGTCCAGCCTGCACTCATCCTGAGCTTCCAGGCTGAAGTTGTGGAACCGCAGTTCTAGGCCGTGTCCTGCAGGCACCGAGATGTGCCAGGTGCAGAGCTGGGGGAGGGCACGGATGGAGTCGGTCAGAGCTCCTTCTCCTGTCCCGCTCTGGCCATCCAGGCAGGGCTCCAGAAGGGCTTTCTCCCTGCTGCAGGCCAGGCAGGGCGCGGGTGGGGGCGGCCCACCGAGCTGTTCCGCATCGATGGTGGAAGGGCCTTTGAACTTGTCTGCTCTCAGAGAGTTTACCCAGCACGGGAACGTCGGGTAAGCACTAAATGCTGTTCCCTCACTGCCTGTTGGAGCTCTGACCTTCCCAAGAACCAGGCAGCGTCTCCCACGCTGTTCCCGCTCACACTAACCCGGGTGCGCAGGTGTGTGTCCGCATGTGCCCCACTGCCCTCCCCGTGGCGCCCCGGCTTACCTGCTGGTGAGGGTACCTCTGCGGGTCGCTGGGGGCAGAGAAAGTGCCCTGGAGCCCAGTCAGATTCCCTCCGCACCCTGCAGAGAGGAGGAGGGGCCCAGGAGTTTGCCAGGGCCCATGAGGAAGCAAGTTCTGGGCCAGGAGAATATCCGGGCAAGTTTGGGGCTGGGCCAGAGCTGGGGAGCCCTGGCCGGACCCGGGTCGGATGCCCGAAGACAGTACCCGCGCTGTGCCCGGCTGGGCCCGCACCCAGGAACTTGGCACTGCAGCTGGTCTCGTCGCTGCCATCAGCACAGTCGGCAAAGCCATCGCACACCGAGTCAGGCAGCAGGCAGACGAGCTGGTCGCAGGGGAACTCAGCGTGAGCACAGCTCCCTGGGGAGGGGCGACTGGATTCAGAACATCCTGGAGGCTCCACCCCTTTCTTGGGGGGGGCGGGGGTGTCTGGAGGGGAGGGAAGTGGGCGCTTGGGAGGCAGCCAGAGGCGGGGGTGGGAAGACACTCACTGTTACCGGGGGTCACAGCCTGGTACCAGGCATGGAAACCAAATCCTTGCACGCTGCTGTCAGAGACGAATGCCACCCGGAGGCGGCTGGCGTTGGTGTTGAGTGTGGGGGGAGGCGCCCTCCCACACACTCTGCAAGGGGCCAGGTTGGGGGTGATGGAGGCTCAGAGCTCAGGGCCAGCCGGAGTGGAGGCTGCCTGGGCCCTGCGGTCCTCTTGCGTCAAGCCCTGACCTGGGGAGGATGGGGTCAAAAAGGGTCCTTTCATTTCCCAGGGAGCTCTGACTTTCCTGACCGGCACGTCCGTCCGTCTGTCCGTCCGTCCGACCAACCGTCCATCCTTGCAGGCATTTCTTCTTGGGCAACAGAGGTGGGAGCTCCATCTGACAGAGAGGGGCGGTGACCTTCCCAAGGTCACACAGCAGGCTGATGGCAGAGCTGGGCCCCTGAGGTCAGGTTTCTCCGTTTCTTCCCAGTCCAGCCTTTCCCACTGCCGCTCCCCAGTTCTGTCCTCTAGACAGTGGTGCAGGGCAGGGGTGAGATCTCCTGGGGGCAGGGGGACCCACCTGAGGAGGGGGCCTTCAGGCTCAGGGGAAATTTCCAAGCGATCGAAAAGACAGGAGGCCACGCTCTCCATGCTGAGCGCTTCGATCTTGAGCTGTATTGCATGGTCTGCGGCCACCTGGATGTGCCACACGCAGTGGGCGTTGGGTGGGTAAGGGTCTGGGTAGTTGGGGCTGCTGAAGAAGCCCCTTGGGCCAGGAAGGAGGCCCCCACAGGCTGCAGAGATGAAGGTTAGAGTTCCGAGGTCAAAAGGAGAGAGACCCTTTTATTTCCAAGGCTCCCCTTCCTGGCCACCGCCCCCCACCCGCCACCATCTTGGGCTCTTCTCCAGGAAGATCTGCCCTGGATACTCACTGGGCTGGGGTGAGGGGCTCATGCCTGCCTCCTCCAGCTGTCCTTTTGGGTTCCCAGATGCCGGAGAGGTGGTGGTGGTGGAGGGGGTGGTGGGGGTAGTGGTCCCGCTGGGGGTCAGGCCTTGGGCAGGCAGTGGCTGATAGGAGGCCCCAGACAGGGGTGTAGCCGGCAACTCTGGAGGGGGGAAGATGGGGGAGTGGGATTCAGAGGAGCCGGTTCCCCAGAGGTGCTGGATACAATGGCTCGTGGAATGTCATTCAGAAGCCCTTCTCCCCAGCGGGCCGGTGCTCACGGGCTAGAATGATGGCCGCCAGAAGCCCGAGCAGCAGGACCAACACGCCGGCCAGCAGGAGGACGCACAGCCAGGAGAAGCGGCAGTCGCGCTGCAGCCCTCGGGGCCGCCGACCTGTGGGTGGGCGGGAGGGCTGGTGAGAGCTCTGTCCTCGCTCCGGGGCCTTTCTGGCCCTCCC